ACATACATACATACATACATACATACATACATACATACATACATACATACATACATACATACATACATACATACATACATACATACATACATACATACATACATACATACTACATACATACATACATACATACATACATACATACATACATACATACATACATACATACATACATACATACATACATACATACATACATACATACATACATACATACATACATACATACATACATACATACATACATACATACATACATACATACATACATACATACATACATACATACATACATACATACATACATACATACATACATACATACATACATACATACATACATACATACATACATACATACATACATACATACATACATACATACATACATACATACATACATACATACATACATACATACATACATACATACATACATACATACACACATACATGCACACACACATACATACATGCACAAAGGCATGCATGCAGACATGGGTTTGAATGCATACATACATACATACACACATATTATATACACACATACATGCACACATACACATATAAGCATACAAACATGTATACATAAACACACCCATATTCACACACACGCACATGTACAAATACAATTTAATTCAGAGATACCAATATCAAAACAACAATGTTTTTGAAAAAATGAAAAAAAAAATAAAAAAATATTTGTGCTTGTACTTTCTTGTGCAAATTTCAGATTTAAGTTGCTGGCTGGTTTTGATTCCAATGATACAGTGCTCACAACTTGCAAATATTTTATTAATAATGAAATGGGATGTATAAAAACAATGCACACTCCCTTGGCAATATTGATGAAATAATTATTAGACAGAAAAAACATTTTGTTGTATTTGTTATACAGTTGAAAGCAGTATGAAACATGTATTTGCTTTAAAAAAAAGAAAAGTTTAGCCCTCTGGAGATAGAGCCTTTTTGGAGTTTCAGTGCAGTTTATACACAAAAAAATTATTAAAAATAAAGCGTTTATTTAACATATAAAAAAACTGTACATATTCGTGTAGGAAATTGAATCAGCTAACAGAATATTTGTGAATCAAACTGAAATCTCAAAATCTATTCAAATAAACTATTATAATTTGCATAATTTATGCAAACATTTTTTTAAAACTTGGGAACAAACATGATCAAACTAAAAAATGTTGGTGAATTTTTTGATAGATAAAGCTTGAATAAGTTTTAACACTTGTGTTTTGGGAAGTAAGGCCCTTTGAGGCCCCTCAGACACTTCTGGCACATAGTTATACTCATTTTCCTGCCTCCAGGTATTTTCCGGTTGCTATGACGCATTTCTTTTTGCCATTGTTGTGCACAGGTAACCCCAGAAAAAAATTGATGTAAAATTATCAAACACATCAAACTTTCTCAAAAGCCATCAATGAACAGCTCACATGTGCAAGAAATACGAGAAGCAGTCTGATTAGGTGGTATAAAAACCTGCCAGCCAATCTCAAGGCTTGTATTACATAGGGCAGACCGGTCAGCCCAGTTGTCCTTTTGGCTACTTTGTGTTGGACTGATATTTTGGCTGCATCATCTCCAAAGGGTAAAAAAAAAAAAAAAACCACACATTACTAAATATGTGAAAAGATAGAAGGATAAATATATAGACTGACAGACAGACTTGATGATGAATAAACAAACAGAAAGAAAGATAAGAGGACAGACAGCTAGTTAGATATATTTAAAAGATAACATCAGGGAGAAAGAAAGAAAGACAGAAGTTGAGCGGAAAAAGGGGAGTGGGTGTTGTTGAGCAAAAGAGAAAAGAGAAAGGGAGAGTTGGAAGCAGAGGAGAATCAGAAACTTTCACCTATTCTTTAGTTATCATCCTTTGTATTAAAATAAAGTTAACATATAGCATGATGTGGTGATACAAAATGTACAATGGTCAGAGATATAACAGGGAAAATGCATAATAAATACATCATAAAGCTGCAACAACAATCCCTTCTAACTGAGTAACATATAGTATTGATAAAGACAGCAACAATCCAGGTAATCCAGTAATAGCATTTCTAAACTTCACAGCAAACGAGTCACCCCAGAGCTGCTCTCATCCTGTTAAAAAAAACAATTAAAACAAAAGGCAAAGAGAATTAAATCAATGATATTTCCCTGTGGATTCTGGGGTCCCATTGTGGGGAAAACAGGAATAGACCCAACTCCTCCACAATAAACATGTATTGAGAGTTGACTAATTGGGGGCTTCCTTTGAAGTCCAAGTGCATCTGCCTGAGAGGCAAGGAACCAACGATCTGTAAACAAATAAGTCAGATCTGTAAAACAGATGTGCTTGCAACACTTTGATTCTGGAACAAGACTAAGTCGCATTGGTGGATGTACAACCAGAGCTTTCTGACAGAGTTTACAGCTGGTGATCGCAAAAAAGGAAAAGATGATTGCAATAGATAGGTTAATAAAATAAGTAAATGGGACAAAAGGAATGAAGACATGATTAGGATTCCTAGGTTAATTTATTTTTTGGATGTAACAGTGAAAATAGAGCAGAGCGAGTTAATATAGCAGCTTTTTCTCCTTTTTTTGAGGGTGAGTTATTTTCAGTTATACCATTTAGTCTTATAAAAGGATGTTTCTGTTGGGTTGGAGTAAAGATGTATCACATGAGTGATCCTTACCTTATTTCCTTCTATCTTTCTACTTCTTTCTACAAGTGCCGATCAATACATTGTCTGTTTATTATATTACCTGTAAAGGACTGCAGGCATCTCCAGGCTGGTGCACGCCACCTCATTTGTAACTTTGTTGAAAGTTTAACAGGATGTCTGGGATTTGCCCTTTTGGCTTGCCATCCACACTGAGATTGTGTTATCTCAGGGTGGTGAGACTTAGGTAGCAACCCTGAAGGAGAAAATGGAAGGACAGAAGAGCTTTCTTTTGATCAAGCACTAAAGTAAAACATCCCTAAGGATTGTATTGTAGAGCTATCGTTTCTCTTTCCAAAAGAAATAAAGACAGTAAGTCCTTTAATATTAGGAGTGCTAACAGTAGATTACGAAAAAAGCAAAAAGAAACTTGAGAAGAACACAAGTATATTAATTTCAAGGATGAAAAGTCACTGATGGGGTGTGTTAAAATAGAATTCTTGTGTAGATTCAGACCAACAGTCATGTAGTAAGAGCTGACTAATTAGGGGCTTCCTTCGAAATCAGAGTGCATCTGTCCTAGAGGCAAGGAACCAACAGTCTGCATACAGATACGTCAGATCTGACAAAAATTGGATGGGCACACAACACTCAGCTTCTGAAACAAGATAAGTCCAGAGGTGGACGAACAACCAGAATTCTCCACTGGAGTTTACAGCTGGTGAACGTGAAGAAGAAGAATTCAAAAGCTCCAGGATGAGTCACTTTGCCAGAGAGACCCCGACACTCCAAATGAAAACCCAGAGGAAATGCAAACTTGACCTCTGTGTAAGTTCCAGGACCCCATTTTGGGAAAGGGGGGCTAGGGGGGAGGGTAAACAGGAACAGACCCACAGCCCCCTAACAAGCATGTCATAAAAGGCAACCAGTTAAGGAATTGCTGAAATTGGATGTGATGGGCAAAAAGGTGTACATATCACAGCTTATCTGTAAACCACAACACAACGTGCCACTGCCCTTATAAAGGTGGTTGCAGAACAAACAAACAAACTTTATTTTCAAAGGGTTACAAATTGGGCACGCAGGCCCATCTGACATTCGGCCAAGAAGAATAAGCATATCTGTACATTCAATGTTCATTCCATTTAAAATATATATATATACATACAAACAATAACTGTGGCATTGGTGGCAGGAAGCTGGAAAATGGTTTGTCTCAGGAATGTCAAGTGCTCAGAAGCCAACATGGAAGAATTTGTTTAAAAAAGCAGCACAACACGATCATCAAGGCTTTTTTCTAGAAAAATAAATAGGTGCCGGTACTGCGTACCATCAGAAAAAGCCCTATTCATATAGATGTATACAGGGCTGTCTTCCAGAAAAAAAAAAGGTGCTGGTACTCATCATCATCATCGTCCTGTAGCACTGAGTGTCGTTGGGTCACCATTTGCTGCTGACTGTCTGATCAGCTCCCTTCACCTGTGACGGTCAGATGTGATGGACTTCATGGTAGTATGACTAAGGCTTGTTCAGTCAGTCCAATTCTGTATCCAGGTCTTTCTTGGCCTGCCACTTCCCCCTCTACTGAGCCCAGTAGAATTGTTTTTTAGAGGCCGTAAGATCTTATAAAATGTCCATATTATTGCACTTTCCACCTTTTCACTGTAGTTACAGAGGTTTATAGTTAACAGTGCGCTGGGTAATTATACCATTAAAAAAAGCCCCATTTATACAGATATATACAGGGTTATCTTCGAGAAAAGTGCTAGTATTGTTTACTGTTGTGCACCGGCAGAGAAAAGACCTGATAAGCATAATAAAAACCCTCAGACAGCTGTCCCATTCAGTTCTGTGCAGGTTTGCGATGATAAACTCCAATCCTCCAGACTGTCAACCGACTTGATTAGTTTCTCACGTTCAACATTGTGGCTGGAAATGTGAGGTGAGGAAACATTTTGATAGTTCTTTTCCAAACATGGCAGGGAATGGAGCTGCTGGCTAGGGGGCAAACCAATCAGTGAATCTGAATTTGATTCCACTTGTTCGTAATAAATTAAAGGTACCTGGAAAGAAAGAAAAATAATATTAAAAAACCGATAAATTAATAATTAACTGTGACCATTAGAGGATAAAGTAAAGAAAATGAAGAGGATGAATTACCACACCGATAAAATAATAATTAGGTCAAAGAGTTAAATATCTAAAGGAACTGATCATATGACATAACAAGGACAGAACACAGACATGATCTAAACCTAGCTGATTGTGTGCGATTGCAAACCATGAATGCTTATGCTTATGAACGTGGGACTTGAAATTGTTTTTAAAAAAACAAAACATTTACAGACATACCTCAGGCACCTTTGAAATTAAGGACTCATGTGCTGTGTTAGCCAACAAATGATCATTGCATCTCTCCTCCTCCTCCTTGTCCTCTGTATCAGAAGACTCCATTTCATTCACAACCGTATGGCCTTGCCTTGTGTCATCATCACCCAGAAGTTTACGTTCATCAGTCAAGGGGGAAGGAAGAGGGGACAGGGAGCTTGGCTGGATTGTGTACCTGAAATATGAAGATTCGTCAAGATTTATGAATATATTTAAGATGTGAGTTCGCTTCTCTGAGAAATCAATTTACCTCTGTAAGAATTCAGCTGTCTTCTCCACCCTAAATGCTAAGTACGTAGTAAAAGACCTTTTTAAACCATGGAGTGTATTTGGTATCTAGTTCTAGCCTTCTTTTTTTCAAACCAATCAACAAGTTTTCAGTTAATGTAAAATTTCATGGAGCATTGGAGATGGACTCTGAGTCTAATAATATTTCGGTAAATCAACAGACGCAATCATTTTGATAATAAATTAATCAGTCAATCAATAAACCAATCAATAAATAAATCAACTAGTAAATCAATCAACTAGTAAATCAATCAACTAGTAAATCAATCAATCAGTTCATCATCAGTCATCTTAATGTGACCTTCCAGGTGTTCAGCTCTTGGTCCTCGGTATTTAGAATCAGTTCCACTGATGATATTCCTCCATGCCTTCCCGTCAACTATCAAGTATCATCCCTCTTGGTCTGCCTCTGTCTCTTCTACCCCTTATTTTTCCAGTCGTCACGGTGTTCTCTAATGCATCTCTTCTCATCACATGACTGAAAAATCATTGACTGCAACTTTCTGATACTTGTATACAGTTTTCTAATTTCATTAGTCATTTCCAGACAGTAGTTGTGAGTTACTTTGGCTGTCCACAGTATTCACGTTATGCATCTGAGAAACCAGATCTCCACAGCCTCCAAAGAAACCAGATCTCCACAGCCTCCAAAGAAACCAGATCTCCACAGCCTCCAAGTTCTTCCTCATTTATTTATCCACATTCTGAGATTTACAGCCATACAGCAGCACCGGTTCAATATAACTTAGTATTTTTTCATATGTTTAATGAGAGAGACCTGTGTCATCAAATATTTTTTCATATGTTTAATGGGAGAGACCTATGTCATCAAATATTTTTTCATATGTTTAATGGGAGAGACCTATGTCATCAAATATTTTTTCATATGTTTAATGGGAGAGACCTGTGTTATCAAATATTTTTTCACATGTTTAATGGGAGAGACCTGTGTTATCAAATATTTTTTCACATGTTTAATGGGAGAGACCTGTGTCATCAAATATTTTTTCATATGTTTAATGGGAGAGACCTGTGTCATCAAATATTTTTTTAAATGTTTAATGGGAGAGACCTGTGTCATCAAATATTTTTTTACATGTTTAATGGGAGAGACCTGTGTCATCAAATATTTTTTTAAATGTTTAATGGGAGAGACCTGTGTCATCAAATATTTTTTCATATGTTTAATGGGAGAGACCTGTGTCATCAAATATTTTTTCAAATGTTTAATGTGAGAGACTTGTATCATCAGATATAGTTTCATATGTTTAATGGGAGAGACCTGTGTCATCAAATATTTTTTCATATGTTTAATGGGAGAAACCTGTGTTATCAAATATTTTTTGATATGTTTAATGGGAGAGATCTGTGTTATTAAATATTTTTCCAAATTTTTAATGGAAGAGACCTGTGTTATCAAATATTTTTTCATATGTTTAATTGGAGAGACCTGTGTTATCGAATATTTTTCCAAATTTTTAATGGAAGAGACCTGTGTCATCAAATATTTTTTCATATGTTTAATGGGAGAGACCTGTGTCATCAAATATTTTTTCATTTGTTTAATGGGAGAGACCTGTGTCATCAAATATTTTTTCAAATGTTTAATGTGAGAGACTTGTATCATCAGATATAGTTTCATATGTTTAATGGCAGAGACCTGTGTCATCAAATATTTTTTCATATGTTTAATGGGAGAGACCTGTGTTATCAAATATTTTTTGATATGTTTAATGGGAGAGACCTGTGTTATTAAATATTTTTCAAAATTTTTAATGGGAGAGACCTGTGTTATCAAATATTATTTCAAATGTTTAATGTGAGAGACCTGTGTTATCAAATATTTGCCATCTTTTGAAATGCCACCTTAGCCTACAATATTCTGCTCTCAATCTCTGTTGCACATCTTCAGTCAGATGTTAAAATTGTTCAAAAATATTTGAATATTTTGACCTGTTTAATTAAGAATCTTGCCTTCAATCGATAAGACAAAAAAAAATTAACCAATAAACTTATCGATTAGAAAAAAATTACCTATTCAATCAATCAAATTAAACAAGAACCAGTCAATCAGTAAATCAAACAGACCAACCAATTAATCAGTCAGCCAAACAATCAATCAGTGAATCAGACCATAAGCTAGCCAGCTAATAAATAAATCAAGCAGACCAATCAATTAATCAGGCAATCATTCAACCATGCCCTGCACTCATACTGTTGATTGATACTCAATGATAAGTTAACTAAAGCCTTCACGAGTACTCACACAATGTCCCCTAACTCCAGTTTAAGGTCATAGCTTGGGTTTATGACCACATAGGAGATGGTAAACCTTTTGTCAGTCACTTCACCTGTTTAGGTAGATTAGAAAAAAATTCATCTTTGAAGGAAAAGAGAATTATTGAAAGAAATAAAGAAAAGACAATTGAAATATTCTGGCCACATTAAAAGACATAACAGGCTTTTTAAAACCATACTGGGTCAACAGCAAGAGGGAGACAGTGATACAAGTGGGAGGATAACATCAAGATATGGACAAATAGCAGTCTGAGAGAGTGTACAACCTAGAAAAAAGAAAGAGTGTGTTGGAGACCCATTGAAGCCAGCCTTTATTGTGGAGACGGCACCTGATTGATTGACCGACAGGTAATTGTAAAAGATACTCTCTCCTCACCTATACAGGTAATTATAGGAGGTGATTAATCTGTTTTTCATCTGTACAGGTAATTATGGGAGATAAGATACTGGATCTCTGTCACTGTCTTTTTATTCCCAGTCTCTCCAGACTCTGTGTTTGATTGTTTTTGTTTCCATGAAACACAAACCTACTTTACAAACTGTACAGTGTTGAAGTCCCATCTGAAAGAGTATTTTCTACCCTATGAGTGTTGCTTGCATTCTTCCCAAAAGATTAAGAACATTATATGAATGATTATAGCAGCCAGAAAGAGGCTAAAAGAAACCTTCAGAGTGCTCTAAAATCCTTCAAAATCAACACAGGAAATTTCTGCGAAAGATCATTCTAGATAGTATACATTCAACAATCATGATGCAGTGAACAGCAAAACAGTAAAGATCTCATGGCCAAAGCAATGAACACAAACTAGAAATATCAGTATGGCAAACTCCTCTCATGCGTATAGTGAACACTGCTCATAAATATTCTTAGCCCTTGTCAGACAACTTCTCACTCATAAAAACTTTCATCTTATTGGATGATGAGTGATCATCTCTTGTGAGTGGTGAGCAACACTGTCAATTTGTTTGTAATTATGTTTTGAAGATTGTGTTTTACGACACTTCTGTATTTCACATAACTGGAGAAGACAGCATCAGGAATAAAAACATCATTACTGACATTGTTCTACCTATGTCAGCTCTTAGTCAGATATGGCTGAGTTACTGTATAACAGCTGTTAGTACTCATCATCATCATCATCAGTCAGCAAGTCCTTTACAGAATGTTGCTCTCTTCATGGCACGCCTGATGGTCCCTCTTTCTCTAGTTAGTTCTCTAGCTCTATGTGCCAAATAGATATTTCATTTCTTTTTTTTGGTCCATGGTATTCTACAAATTCTTTTGTAGCATTTTGGTTAAAAAGCTCCAATTTTTTGTTTGTTTTGTAACTCAATAAAAGTCAATGACTCACATCCATGGGTCATCCATGGGTAGGATGTCGGATCTCAAAATTGTTACTTTTTCCTGTTTGCAGATGCTGGGGCACAGCACCTCTGTTTACATCAAATATTCCTCAGCATACACTAAACCTGATATCCCACACTGCGCCAATGGCTTTGGCGGAGGAACACAATGGCGAGGATACCGGCCTTAACCTTGATGAGGAAAGGCAATCTGAATTTTTTTTTTATGGCAGGGCAGACCAGGCCCTTTGCCTTGGTTGGCAGCTGATCTAGCAGCGAAGCTCTGAGGTTAAACTACTCTTCATTTCTGGCAGTTTCTGCCATAAGATTATGTTTTCCTTGGCTTAGAAGGTATGTAAGGTTTGGTATATGGTGATTCAAAATTAGTAGTCCTACAGTGTAACAAACAATCAATCAAAATTCACTAATCCTGCAATATCACACACACACAAAACCCACACTCACACACAAAAACCAATCAAAATTCCTTCAGACCTGCAACACCCTACAAACGACGATGGTGTCAGTGGACTATTGTGTCAGTTCTGGGTCCCCATTATGGGGAAAAAAGAAGAATAGACCTACTGCCTTCCTTACAAGCATGTCATAAGAGTTGACTAAATAGGAGTTTCCATCCAAGTCCAGGTGCATCTGCTTGAGAGGCAGGAACCAACATTCTGCCTACAAATAATCCAGATTTGTAAAACTGATATGCATGCAGCCCTCAAGTTCTGGAATAAAATTAAAGTTCAAAAGAAGACAAGCAAAGAGGACTTTCCACCTGAGTTTTCATCTAGTAAAATGAAGAAGAAGAAGAAGAAGAAGACAGTAGACAGATAATCTGCATTACACAGCGAAAACAGGTCATCTCTAAGAACTTGTATTCTGTCCTCAGTTACTCATGCAGTGTTTAGCAGATGATGACAACCCATCTCTCCCCCCTCCAAACAAAAACAAACAAACAAACAAACAAAAGACAAAACCTCACTATAATCTTGCAGTGTAAGACCCTGTGTCTTCATCCGACACTTGACCATCTGAATGATGTCCTGTCTCTCAGGGGTCAGCAGTCCCTTCTCCAACATTTCCTCATCTGGTGCAAAGGCCATCTGAAAAATACAAAATTAATAAAGGTAATTCAGATAACGATGACAAAAAAAATATGTTACGCACATTATTGCCTGACTATTCCTCGTTTGGATTCTTGAGCCTCATTTTGGAGAAAATAAGAATATACCTCCTGCCCCCTAACAGGCTTGTTGTAAGAGGTGACTAATTAGAGGTGTTTCTTTGAAGTCAGAGTGCATATACCTGACAGGTGAGGCACAAACAGTCTGCATACGAATAAGCCAGATCTGTCAAACAGATGTGCATGCAAAACTCAAGTCCCAGAACAAGACCTAGGTCTAGAAGTGGACAAACAACCAGAAATTTCTCCTGGAGTTTACTGCAGGTGAACGCTAAGAACAGGAGGTGAAGATTGCAATACCTACTGTGCTGTATCTCAAACTCTATACTAATGCACGTTCTCATGAATATAAAACAAAAACAAAACCAGAAAATAAGCAATAAAGTTATCTATAAATGCAGAGGCTCGAGCAACGGCAGCATTTTACAAAAAGAAGAATATTTTATGCAATCTTTCTTTGTCAACTGAGATGAGAAATAGAATTCTTAAAAGTTGTATGAATCCTATATTGATATACGGATGGGAATCAAGGACAGTAAATTAGTGAAAATTATTTGGAAGCTGCGGACAAGTGGTTTTATAAACGAATGATGAGAATACCCTGGACAGATAAAAAGAGTAATGAAGATGTCTTGAAAGAAACTGACTCACAAAGAGAACTGATTGCCCACATCAGAAAGAGACAATCTAATCTACATTCTTTGGTCATGTGATGAGAAGGAGAAAACTGGAGTACATCGTGACGGTAGGAAAGTTGGAGGGGAGGAGAGGCAGAGGGAGACTGAGAGAACAGATGCTGGACAGTTTGACATCATGGCATGGAGGATCATCTGTGTCAGAGTTGACTGAAAGTACATGAGACAGAAAGTTGTGGATAGACATGACTACTAGCACCACACAGCATGGACTTTAAGAAGAAGAAGAAGATAAATGCATGTGTTTTCTCATATATTGCCTCAAATATCTAGACAACCATTTGTATCAACATTTATAAGACAAAGCAGTTTGTGATATGTTAAACATCCTGAGAAGGAGCAGGCAGAGACCACAAACGGACATGCACTGACTCCACTCCCTTTCTTTCCTTTCATTTTTCAGCTCATGGTACATTGCAGGCAGTGGGCCAGAACAATGCAACAGGACTCACAATGTCCTCACAAGCAAACAAAAGACAGGACAAACACAGCTCCCATTCTTCTACAACAGGAGTCCATTGTTCACAAATACAAAAAACAAAAAAAAAACATTTATTATCGATGTAACAGTGCCTTCAGTCTGCCTCTCTCCAGTCTTTAACACAATTTGGAAATGTTCCTAAGTAACCTCTGCCACACACTCTAGCTAACATCAATTAATGTCATAAGCAAATCTTGGAGAAATAAATGGATTCACTGCAAACGTAAATCAAGCTTATCCACCACACATGATCACCCACATCTGCTATCTTCCACAAACAGGCTGCTATAGCCATGCTCCATAGCTTTCGACACACACACACACGCACACGCACACAAGCTGATCAACCCACCTGATGCCTTTCTCACAAGAGAATTCCTGAATTTTTTGTTCTTTGATTACATATCTCTTCCTAACACACCACACATGAAACATTCGGTTAAATACATCCCCTCACTGAATTCTCATATTTCTACCATGTCTCTCAGACACAATATCAGCCTTGAGATTTGCTTATTCTTCCCACCGTCATGTGCTACTTTCTGTTGAGATTTTTCATTTTGGCCAATGTGACCTGGGGTTTCCTCTAACCCCTAACTAATTCCCAGAACTGTATCTCTATAAGGTATGTAAACTGAGGATAAAGAAAACAAGGATGCCCAAAGAAGCCCTAAGGTGAACATTGATGAGAGAGGCTAATGGTGCTGATCTGGACTCCATGATATTGAAACAATGGCATACAATAGAACTGTATATAGGACAATACTGCAAGCTATGTATGACACATAACAGCATAACAGGGTGATGATGATGAATACTGCCTTACCGAAACAACTTCTGTTCCTGAGTGGTACTGAGTGCGATAGATACCTATGGGTATTTCACAGGTGGTAGAGCAAAGCTTCTGGTACAGCCGGCCATAGGTTCGAATCCAAAGATCATCTTTTGTAATTTTCATCTGTTGAAGTTGAAGGTCAATGAAGTTTGAATTAATCTTGGAACATGGTTTAGTGATATAATATGGCTGTATGATCGAGAGACATGAATACGTTATATGTGTAATGGCAGAACTAGATAATATGTAAGTTGACTGAGTAATATTACTGGCAAATGCTGAGGTTGGTTCTGCAATATCCTGTAAACTGACTCCCCACACCCCCCTCCCAGGAGTTTACATTTACTGTTAAAGGATAAATATTTCCATTGCTATTGAAAGTATATTAACATTCTCTTTCTTCCTCATCTTATTTTCCCTGCTCCTGGAATACCTTGCAGCATCAGGGCAGGAAATGATCTCCCTGTTCACTTGGTATATAGTACTTTTCAGTGTCTCCGATATTTCCACCATCCATCTTCTGCTCGGTCCACCTTCGGCTCTGTTAATGCTGTAACTGTACAACACTGCTCACTGTGGTGCACTGTCTGTTGTCAGTCTTGTTACGTGGCCAAACCATTATAAAAGGTTAAAAAAAAGTAATTAAAAAAAATATAACCATGGATAAATGTAGCAAGTAGAGTCGTCATGAAAATCTGGCAATACTGACCCCAGATACTGATTTCTTGTTCTTCAAAAAGAAAAAATTCTCTTCAGACCACGATGATTTGTCTGTGCTTCTACACTGTTCACTCGCCCCCTCCTCTCTCCCCCAAGGGCTCTTACAACATCCAGCTTGGCATGCATCAATTCAACATCAAGTTGTGCAAAACCAGTCAGTCTATCTGCCTGTTCATTTCAGAATACTCTGGCAAATCGTGGAGAAAATATCCAAAAGATGCTAATTACATTCTATTTAATGAAGTAAAAGACCCCTTTCCATATTTTGAAATAGGTTTTTAAAACAATGATTCTTATGTAGAGTATATTATATAAAGTTTTGTTTGTTTGCTTGTTTTAGTATCCAGAAGCCATGAGCTGTTAACCCTTAGGCTCAGTATTATGGATATAGCAACCTTTCGGCCTTGATTCCATGATAAATACCGTAAATCTGGGAGAAATGTAGCTTTTCTGCCTACCCCCGGGAGTGAACCCGGACCACGAGGAGTTTGTCACCCGGTCACCGCACAATCTGGTTTAGCCAACTACACTAGAAAGCCAAGCTTATATTATATAAAGAAAAATGATTTTAAAAAAAAAATTTAGTTTTTCTATGTTTTATAGGATATTTTATTTCCCAATAATACTTCAATTTTTAGAAAACCCTGAGCAAGTGCACATACAGCTACAGGAAAGAGACAGTCAATGTTGTTTTGGCATGTGATAAGAAGATGGGGGTTAGAGAAGGCGGGCAAAGATGATTGGAATGATCAGCAGTAGAAGAGACAGAGGTAGATCAAGAAAAACAATGCTTGGTGGTCTGAAGTGAAGGCATGGAGGAATATCTCCAGTGAAGCTGATTCAGAATATCACTTACAGACATATGTGGACAAACATGAGTGCCTCTGCTGCCTGGCAGGGCACATGATGATAATGATGCTGATGTTGCACTGTATACATTGGCAAACATCTGCTGTGTAATACTTCTGTTATGTTCATTATTTCTACATCAGTAGTTTCTTAACTCCACCTAGTCCATATTTCTATAATTTTATTCCACTGAGACTCAATGACCACTGCTCTAAAGTTGATACAATCTGAGTTAGAAAGTGCTGAAATCACAACAGGTTGGTAATGAGTTAATTATTCAGTGTACTTTAGCTTAATTCAAGTTGATAATATCTTTTCTTCTTCTTCTTTCTTCTTCTTGTTCACTGGCTGTGAATTCCGGCGGTAAGTCGCGGTTGTTCATCCAAATGGACTTTTGGCTTTTACCTTGACCTGAGTTTTGCGTGTACATCCGTTTTACTGGCTTATTTGTTTGCAGTTCTCGCTCCCCGCCTCTCCGGCAGATGTACTCCGACTTCGAGGGAAATAATATCTTTTGAAATGTAACTCTCTTGTGCCAAGAAGCACAAAACCTTCTGGTCTGTGCTACAGCCCAAAAATGTTTATCTCACAGCTTGCTATAGAGCAGTGGTTTACAGCTTTATTTTTTTTCCAGGTTCTCTCCTTCCCCCCAATTTTTTTTTTTTTTTACAAATTAACTAAACTTCAAAATTACTTGATGTCCTCTTTGAAACTTTCTCAGGCTCCCCTCCAACTTGGGGACTACTGCTAGAGGAACCAAACTAACAGCATTGTTTCCATTTCTTCACAGGCCGCATTTTAGAATAACCAGGAATGAACAAAATTGCTAAAAACAAACGTATTTAAGTGGAAGTTTTCTTCTGGAAAATGGCTTTATTTATAGAAATTAGGACACACAAATTTCTTGTTAGTTGGTACCTGGGTCTGGGTCAAAGGGTCAAGAATAGGCCAGGCAGAACATTTTCCTAAAGTTCAGTGAGATGTAACCAAGTCTGTTCACTGCCACATTCATGTTGATTGATTATTCCTGTTATTTTGTATGCAGTTAAATATTGGTTTGGTCCATAAACGGAATTACTATCATTTTTGTGTGAGCTGTGTAAAATGGCTGTCTTTTAAAGGAATATATTTTTTTTTGGTTGGGGAATTTAAAAAAATATGGGCATTGTTTTTTTCTTGGTCAGCAGGGTGAAAAGGTTAAATGGAGAAGTGAAACAAAATTATTTGTTTGCACAACTTTTTAAAACTTGCCC